GCCGCCACCACCGCCGCCGGCGCCGTGCGGCTGGTGTGCAGGGTACCCAGTAACCTGCTGCCGCGGCGGGCCGCCCCGCAGCTGCACGGCCGCCGCCGCGGCCAGCTGATGCGGCGCAAAGCGCTGGGTCGGGGGCGCCGGTGCCGCGCACGCCGCGGCGGCGGTCGCGGACTGGCCGCGTTGGTCCCTCTGGGGGGCGGCATCCCCTTGAAACTGCTCCCACTCGCCGACACCTGATCCTTGTCTGTGTGCTGGCACACTCTTGGGGCGTGGCGCGGGCATGGAACTGCCCGGCGGGTGACGCGCACCAATTGCGCCAGAGGGGCCGGCAGCAGCGCCGCCCTCCGGCGGGGCGTGCACGGCACGCTGAGGCGACAGCGGCGGCGCCTGCGACTGAACGCCGCGTGGTGGTGCCGCGCCGGCCGCTTGCGCTTGATAGTATTTTACAGCCGAGTGCCCGCCGCCGTTGTTGATCCCGCTGCCGCTGGCGCTCGCGCCGGATGCGAGAGCGCTGCTCCTCAGGCTGCCCCGCAGCAGGCCCCCGCTGCTGCTACTAGGGGTGGCGCCGGCTGCAGAGGACGGGGGCGAAGGCGCGGCAGCGTCAGCGGCAGCAACGGGGCCGTGAGAGGCGGGGCGCACTTTGGAGGCGGACGCATCCTGTCGACTCATTTGCTCCTCACGCTCCGGCCACCGCGGTCGCTGCTGCAGCGCGCCCACATCCTGAGGGCCCAGAAACTCGCCCGCATGCGCCACGGCGTGCTTCTCTGGACGGACTTGCTGCGCCCCGGCGCCCCAGCGGCCGCCTGGGCCGCTGCCATAAGCTCCGCCGGGTGCACCATCCCGACCACCGTCCGCCCAGGTTGCCTGATCTTCGGGCGCAACGCGCCGCCCGAACGCATCGCGCTCGGCTGCACGTGCATGCAGCGGTTCCTCAACCGCACTGCAGCGTTGCTCCTGCGCCTGCTGCTGCTGCTGCTGTTGCTGCTGCTGCTGCTGCCACTGCTGGTCGTGCAGAAGCTGCGGCTGTCGTTGCTGCTGTCGCTGCGGCTGTTGCTGCTGCGCAGCCTGCTGGGGCTGGAGCGGCATCGGCGGGTGCGCCAAGTCATGAGGATCCACTGAGGGGTGGTAGAGCGCGCTCCCCATCGCCATTTCCGCCGGCCGCGCCTGCAGCGAGGCTGGCAGCGCCTGCGCAGGCGCCGCCTGCGGTGTCGGCGGCGCCTGCTGGCGAGTGTGTGCGTGGGGTTTGGGCTTCGGCGGCAGCGATGGCGGGGGCGGGGCCGGCGAGTGCTCGATCACGGCTTGCTTCCCTGGGCGGAGGGGAAGGGGGAGGGATTTCGTTGCCTGGGTTTGTCCACGAGAGATGGATCGCCCCAAGGATCCCATAACCTCGGTGACCGAGGCCAGCTGCTAGCAGAGACGACGTGCACAGGCCGATTTCGAACGCTGCAGGGCGGCCTGAAGAACCCCAGGGACAACCAAACCTGTCAACACCCTCACATTTCCCCCAGAGCCGCTTGAACAGGGAGACCTTCTTCCTCCTCTCGGGCGGCGGTGCGGGCAGCGGCTCGCTGTCCTGGTCGACGCCGAGCGCTGCAAGCGGCGGCGACGGCGGCGGCTGCGGCCGCGGCGCTGGCGGCGGCGCGTCGCGGTGCCACGCACCATTGCCGGCTCGGGCGTGGTGCGGCTCCATTGCAGATGCTGCCACTGGTAGGGGCTGCTGCCGGGCGCCCCTGCTGATCCGATGGCCTAGGTTTGGTGCCTGTGGCTTGTAGCGTCGCCTGTGCTCGGCTATCAACTCTGCGCGCTGCTCAGCATTCACATCGTCCGCCCAGTCATCATCTTGCCGCATCCCATGGACTCCCGGGTCTGAAAGAGTCGGGTGGCGCGACGAGGTCCGGCTTGCGTAGATCTACGTGTCGGCGAGATCGCGGAATGTCATGCAATCCAGGTATAAGTATCCAGTATGTTTCTAAAACTGCGGCGCTGGCCTGTTTCGTGCACCCAACCTGCGACATCGACTGCCACACGCTCGCAGCCGCTGCATGATTGCTGCGTGGCGCCAACGCCTCCCCTTGATGACTTGGCAGGGCTGTCTACAGCCATAATGATGCCATCCATGGAGAAGTCCTGGAACTCGTGCCAAGGAGACAGCACTTGCCTTGTGCGCTGATGGACAGCCTCAAGGGAGGGCTAACGCGTGTCCGTCCACAAACAGCAGTGGCCCTCGTTGACAGTTTGGATTCTTTTCAATGGAAGCTCAAGAGTGAGGCAGTGGGAATGGCTGGGCGCTTATGGTTGACATGCATCAAGCAAATTCATACCAAGGCAGCATTGAGCCAGTCGAGGCAGCACGAAGCCAGGCAACGCCCATGTACATGCCTTCGAGAATTGTCTATGACCAAGACATATATTTGCTGCAACTTGAGTTGCTTGGCCAGATGGCAGCACAGTGTATGTAGGGTCCCTGGCACCAGCAGAGATAAGGCCAGACTGGTCTCAGCGAGTGAAACTGCAGTTGACCCGAGTCGGTGTGGCGGTTGACCACGGCGTAGTTGGGCAGGCCTCCGCGTGTTTGGTAACTGCAGGTTCCTTGTGATATTGCGCTGGCGACTTCCGGGCCCCGCGTGTATCGGGCGGAGATCATTGTCACTCTGAGAGAACGGCGGCTCTCCCGTCGCAAGTGGCATACCCTCAAAGTCAACTTTAGAACTCACGCGATTGCATGTTTTGCGTCTCAACTGGACTTCTTGTGCTGTCGCCGCTCTGATCCGACCCTCTCGGCAACCCGGAAACTGTAGCAGGGCCGTGCGGGCCATATTCAGAGAAACAATGCAGCTGCACAGGCAGGCCGCCGGGCAGGCCCAGTGCATGAGGCCTGCGGTGGCACTGCGCACCTGTAGCGGTGCCAAGCGCAGCAGGGCCGTCTCCTGCCGCGCGTCACAGCAGCCGGCGGAGCGCTTCCCGGCGCAAGTCTGCGTCGTGCTTGGTACACAGTGGGGCGATGAGGGCAAGGGGAAGCTGGTGGATATCCTGGCGCAGCAGTACGATGTTGTCGCCCGTGCGCAGGTGGGCCGCCGGTAACAGTGAGAGCAGCCCTGCCGCCGCTGCCGTGACCTGCATGCCCGCCCCAAAGACCAGCTTTCGGCGTGCATGCAGCCCCCATATGCGCTTGGCCACATGCAAAGCCCCGCATGCCGCCATAGCGAATCTTTGTTGGCCGCCGCACGCACCTTTTGCCTGCATGCGTCCCCAACCCCACCATCCGTGCGCGTGGCTCGTCACCCGTGCTCCACCGGCCCGCAGGGCGGCGCCAACGCGGGGCACACCATCTACGATGACAAGGGGACCAAGTACGCCCTGCACCTTGTGCCCAGCGGCGTCCTCAACCAGTGCGTGGGCGGCGCGCCAACGGCGAATTGCAGCCGCATGGGGGTCGGGGGCCCACGGCCCGCAACATGCGCCCCCGGCGATCGCGGGCGGCCGTCGCAGGCTGGCGGGCGGGGGCATACGAATCGTGGCACAGCCCTGGCGGCGCGCCTGAGTGGCCCCGCTTGCATGGCCGCCATGCGAATGGGATGCAGACGCGGCCGCCCGAGGCACCGCCAGCCGCACCCGCTGCTGTGTCCCCGCGGTGGCAGCACTGCCGCCGGCCCGTCCTCGAGCCCGGCGGCCCGAAGGTAACACACCGCTCGGCCCCTCCTCGCCCCCCCCATCCTACAGGGGTGCCACCAATGTGATCGGCCACGGGGTGGTGGTGCACGTGCCCGGCCTTTTCGAGGAGATGGCTGAGCTGGAGGAGAAGGGCGTGCAGCTGGACGGCCGGCTGCTGGTCAGCGACCGCGCGCACCTGCTGTTCGACCTGCATAAGGAGGTGGACGGCGCCCGCGAGGCTGAGCTTGCGGGTGGGTGGTAGAGCCAGCGGGGGGTTGGGGGGGAGGGGAGGGGCCAAAGATGGGGCGGCACCTGGGCACAGGGCGGGGATGGCAGGTGGCTTGCTTGAACAGGATAAGGTGTTGCTGGGAGAATGGTTGGAGGTGTCCATGTGTGCTTGAGGGGCAGAGGGTTGCGGCACGCGCAGGCGTCGCAGGGGTTGTGCTTGCTGCGTGCTGGCGCGCCGCGGCTGCGCATGCCTGGCAGCTGCCTGGAGGGAGACTCCAGGATCAAATAGGGCGTGGAAGCGCAGCCGCCGCCGCACAAGCAAGGGAGGCGCGGCGGGCGAGCCCAGAGTCGAGCGCGCCGGCAGCAGCGAGGGCGTAACGCGTTCGCCCGCTCCGGCCGCCGACACGCCGCAGGCAAGAAGATCGGCACCACCAAGCGCGGCATCGGTCCCGCGTACGCCTCCAAGGCCACCCGCAACGGCCTGCGCGTGAACGACCTGCGGGACCTGGAGTCCTTTGCAGAGAAGTTGCGCAAGCTCTCGGCCGACGCGCTGGCGCGGTGAGCGCAGGCCGGGCCGATGCGGAGGGCAGCGTCGCCTTGGGGAAGCGGGGCCCGAGGACGGCAAGGCGCGTGTGTACATGGCACAGACCACGCGGAGGCGTACGGCGGAGGAGCGTGCGCTGTTGCTGCTGTTGCGCAGCAACCGCTTGACCCTCGCGTCGCCTTCCTTGCGCGGGGCCGCAAAACACAAGCATACAAGCGAGCACCCCCGCCATCATGTGCGTCATCAACCACGCAGCTTCCCTGAGCTGCCGTATGATGTGGAGGCCGACATCCAGGCGTACCAGGGCTACGCCCAGAAGCTGCTGCCCTTCGTCACCGACACCATAGAGTGAGGAGGGGCCCTCACAGTTTAGACGTGTGGGTGTATGTGTATGTGGGCGGGGTGAGATGTGTGTTTTCGTGTCTGTGCACCCTAGTGTGTGTGTGCTGTGTGTGTGTGCGTGCGTGTGTGCGTGTGTGTGTGTGTGTGTGTGTGTGTGTGTGTGTGTGTATGTGTGTGTGTGTTGTGTTGTTCTCTGGACTGGCCACCAGGGAGCCAAACATTCCAACCAGCCGTCACAGCCGCCCCATGCGCGCCAACTCTGAGCGGCGCCTCCACGCAGCCCGCCGCCGACTTACGCCCTCTCCTCCCGCCGCCTGCCAGGCCCTCGACCTGCCGCGAGCGGCCCCCCAGCGACCACCCCCTCTCATCCGCTCCCCCCCCCCTTCCACGCGCGCAGGTACATCAACAATGCGCACGACTCTGGCAAGCGCGTGCTCATCGAGGGCGCCAACGCCACCATGCTGGACATCGACTTCGGCACCTACCCCTTCGTGACGTCATCAAACCCCTCCATCGGTGGCATCGTGTCGGGCCTGGGGCTGGCGCCCAGCAAGTTTGACGCCATCATCGGCGTGGTGGGTCCGCGGGGACGCCTGGGGGGGCGGGTCGACCCTCAGGGTTCAGGGGTTGAGGAGTTGGAGCTTAGATGAGGACGCGGGGCGGCCTCCAGGGGTGGAGGGGGTGGGGGTGCTCTTGCTGCGCATGGTTCGGGTCAGTGCTGCGCGACGCCTGGGCGACAGCGGCCTGTTGAAATCCGTGAGCGTGCGCGTGCAGACGCACGGCCGGCAGCGTCAAATGTAGCACCCCTCGCGCACCGCCGACTCCGCCTGGCCCCGTGCCTTCTTGCTTCCCCCCAGGCCAAGGCGTACACCACGCGCGTCGGCGCGGGGCCGTACCCCACTGAGATCTTTGGGGACCTGGGGGAGAAGGTCCGGGAGGTGAGGGGCCGGCCATGTGGGCAAGTGTGAGGACGTGGGGTGTGTGTCGTTTGGGTGCGTGGGTGCGTGCGTGTGGGTTGTGTGACACGTGTGTGCGTGGGGTATTCCCTGGGTGTTTTCATGCGACGTGTGTGGGTGTTGCTGTTGCGAGCGGAGAAGGAGGGAGGGGGTTTCAGGCAATACAAGACATCACATGGCCTCCTGGGGCAGCGAACCCGCACATTCCGCACACCACTCCTCCAGACGCGAGCAGCCGAAAGAGGCCACTGCCTCTGCCACGGCGCCTGGCAGGCCCTGCAGGCGTGGGAGCCCCGAAAACAATCCAGGGCGTGCCTCACCTTGCACTGTGGTATGCATGCGCCGTCTTGCTCTGCCTTTCCTTTCAGGTCGGCCGCGAGTACGGGACCACCACCGGGCGGCCGCGGCGCGTGGGGTGGCTTGACATGGTGGCGCTCAACTACGT